CAATGTTATATGGGTCTGTCCCAGGCCTTGTGATGGGGAAGAGACTAGACGGTCAGAGAACGTATAAGAACGTATAGGGAAGAGACAAAGTCATGCACTATTTCCCGCCCCGTCGGACCAGTGACCAGTGACCGTGCTGTGTATACTTCAGCTGGTAACGGCGCTCGGAAAATGTGTCACGATGCGGTGGAATCGGGCGCTCGTCTAACCCTAATCCTTACTCTAACCCTAGCCCTAACCCTAACCCTATAATGTGGCGTTATTCGTATCAACTTAAAGCTTGTTTATTGTTCTAATTTTTTAATTTTCAATTTAATGTTGCCCATTTATCTTGAATAGAAGTCGAGATATTAGCGATTAAAGAAGTTTGGGGTCGCCTGGTTTCAGTTTCAGAGGTAAAATCAGCGAGAAAATGGCCACAAAGGTTTTGTTACTTCCATAGGTTGAGTCTTTGGAAACTGATACGTTTTGCGGTCAAAAGTCCACACAAGCATGGTGTGTTTTTAATTAAAAGGGTATAAAATGTGTTGAACAAATACATAAAAATTTGTAAATGTGTAATAAAAATTGCCATTTGGCAATAACAATGCCGGGTTTTTTTTTCCGAGTTCATTAATTCGACGAGCGCCTGCTTTGGCCACAACGCCCCACAAATGGAGATGGAAGAGTTAACGTTTGTATAATTAACGTCACCGCGGGTGGCAATCCCATCTATGCCGGGCTCGCCGGGGTTGATGGGTCAGAGCTGGGCGCCGGTTTGGGAGATTTGTGTGCGTGTCTTTGAGTGTCTTTGTGTGTGTGTCTTTGAGTGTCTCTGTGTGTATGTGAGTGTCCCCGTCTGTCTGTGAGTGTGTCTGTGAGTGTCTTTGTGTGTACGTGAGTGTCTCTGTGTGTATGTGGGTGTCTTAGTGTTTCTGTGAGTGTCTCTGTGTGTCTGTGAGTGTGTCTGTGAGTGTGTCTGTGAGTGTCTGTGTGTGTATGTGAGTGTCCCTGTGTGTCTGTGAGTGTGTCTGTGAGTGTCTTTGTGTCTCTGTGAGTGTCTTTGTGTGTCTGTGGGTGTCTTACTTTGTGTCCCTGTGAATGTCTTTGTGTCTCTGTGGGTGTCTTTGTGTCTCTGTGGGTGTCTTTGTGTCTCTGTGAGTGTCTTTGTGTGTCTGTGGGTGTCTTACTTTGTGTCTCTGTGGGTGTCTTTGTGTCTCTGTGGGTGTCTTTGTGTCTCTGTGTGTGTCTTTGTGTGTCTGTGAATGTCTCTGTGTGTCTGTGAGTGTCTTTGTGTCTCTGTGAGTGTCTTTGTGTCTCTGTGAGTGTCTTTGTGTGTCTGTGGGTGTCTTTGTGTCCCTGTGAGTGTCTTAGTGTTTCTGTGTTTGTCTTTGTGTGTATGTGAGTGTCTTTGTGTGTCTGTGGGTGTCTCTGTGTGTATGTGCGTGTCTTTGTGTGTATGTGAGTGTCTCTGTGTGTATGTGAGTGTCTTTGCGTGTGTGTCTGTGAGTGTCTGTGGGTGTCTTTGTGTGTCTTTGTGCTCTGGGAAAATAGCATCATGTGTTGGGCTGCTGTTGTGGTGGTAAGTGTATTACATGCAGTTTGTTTTGGTAAGGTTTTACGGCGCAGGCAACTGCATAAGGTCATGTGAGCGCCAAATGGTGGATGTCAACAGAGAAGTCTAAACGAGGAATCAGGCCTGCTCTGCTCACCTCTCTAGCCTAAACAGCACAAAGTCTGCTTC